CCGGCGGCGTCCGGACGTTCCTGCCCTGCTTACTTTGGGAATGGAAATGAAGTTCATGAACCACTTCTGAACTGGCTGGGCAGGATGGGAACAGCCTGGCCCGTGTCCACACACCAACTGCCCCACTGTCCACAGCACAGCTTTTCCAAAGGGACACCCCTGGGAGCTCCCAAACATCTCCCACTCGGACAAAATGCATTTCTTCATAGCACTCGCTGAGAAAAGGCAGCCTCAAAGGTCTGCCCCCGGGTGTTATCCTACACAGAGACATGCAAAGCTCGCCCAGGGACAAGTGTAACATGGATTTGTTTGCCAAAGGAAAGGCTTCAATGGGCTGGGAAAATCCTTGGGGGGTTCCTGAGCAAGACACACTGTGTTACAGCAGGATCAGGCTGGGTGCAGAATGCTTATTTCAAATTAACTCCAACAGAGAAATAATGAGCAGCAAGTTTATATTTCAGTAAATTAAGCGAGAAGCTTAGGTAAAACGTGAGTTTATATGCACGGAAATAAATTACTATTTACTCACTTTTGCGCTCATGCCCTCAAATATGAAGACATTTGCAGGGATTTATTAATATTTATAGGACATTATAATAAATACCCACAAGAGCCTTGCCTGAAGACATTCTATTTTACCAATGTAAAATCTGTTGAAGGTCAAAGGGATCTTTTACTTGTGTGTGGATGGCAAGATCAGCCTCTTTACTTGGAAATCTGTATCAACTGCGATAATTTAAAACTTTAATTAAAGACTCAGTGACAGATTATCTACGAAATGTCTTCCTGCTGCCCAGTATTCCATCAGGAATGTCTCCAGAAGCCCAGGCTGTGTAAGCACACTTGCCAGGAAATATTTCACTGTGGACATGTTAGCTTTTATCTGGCTCATTGGGTAACAAATTCTTTTGTTGAGGATTGGTGACAACAAAAATTAAATTAGAGGCAAAACCAGACCCCAACCCAAAAATTTATAATATTTGTTTTGTTTGTCTCTCAAGAAAATGAAACACAGTGAATTTCTCCTTTTGTGCACTGCAGTGGATGGGTTTATGAGGAGGGAAAAGCAGAGGTCTGGGAATGAATGAATGAGGAGCACAGGGTGAGGAGAGAAGGGCTCAGGAACACCACACAGGCACCTCTCTAAGCCCTGGGAGCATGCAGACCTCGCTGGGAATTTTTGCTTGGAAAGGCTGTGGCATAGGAGGAGTGGGTGGATGTTCTCACAGAGCTGCAGCAGAACCTGGGGCAGAAGGGACAGCAATGGTGGCATGGGCTGGACTCTAACAGTGACAGGCCACTTTGAGATCCTGCAGAGGAGAGAGTTAACAGCAGTGACACACTTTTGTCTGGAGAAGTCACAGGGACTGAAAATAAAAACTCGGGGCCATAATTCTGCGGTCTGTCACTACCAGGAAACGTGAAATCCAGTGACCTTTCATCTCTGTGACAGAAATGCTGCACAGCACCTGGAGCCATCGCCCTTAAAATCCACTCTGACAAACTGGATGATAGGACATGAAGGAGAAAATGTCCTCAGCCTGCCTTACCCCCAGATGTGAGCCTCCCAGTGAAGTCCACATGCTCCGTGTGGAATGTGGCATCCCTTGCCAGGAACAGCCTGCCTTGAATGAGCTGCTGTGATTAGTGAGGTACGTGGTAACAGTCTCATTTCTTTGGCCAAGAAGTAACAAATCTCCAAAGCCATATGTTCAGACTGCTCTTAAATGATGGGAGAGAAATCACTATTGGCTTTCTATGAATCTTCAGGCCAGGAATGCTAGAATCAACAGATTTTTGCATTATCACAGAATCACAGAATTCCAGACTGGTTTGGGTTGGAAGGGATCTTGAAGATCATCCCCTTCCACCCCCTGCCATGGGCAGGGACACTTCCCACTATCCCAGGATGCTCCAAGCCCTGTCCAACGTGGCCTTGGGCACTTCCTGGGATGGGGCAGCCACAGCTGCTCTGGGAAACCTGTGCCAGTGCTCACTGAATCACAGAACTTCTGCCCTTGGTGGGATGTAATTAATAAGGTTATGAAAATCTACCTGACTGTATGGAAAGAGAATTATTCTCTCATTAATAGCAGCAACAGTTAAACAAGCAGTCAAGCCATGCCCCTAGCAGAGTGCAGCAAATTATGCAGGGCTGTGTTTTACCTTAAATAAGGATTTTCCTTACCAAAATTTTAAGGGATAGCTTTTGAATTGAGGATTTGCACCACAGAAATTACTTCCCCCCACCCAGCAACTGTATCCCTTGAGCTCTTCTGTTTGTCAGTCTGAAATTATGACCACAGGGACTAAAATCTTTTCATCACATCAGAACATGGCATTGTGTCTTCAGCCCTTTGGCAGAAAACAAAAGCTACTGAATGAAAGGAAAAAAACAAATAAATTTAAAAAGGGGTGTTTCAGTCATTTAAGTGGGTCTGTCAGCTTGTGTTATCTTCATGCATTTGTGAAACTGAGCTTTAATTGATTGGCTGAAGTGGAGAGCTGAAAGACAAAATTTTGGTCTCAAGATGAACACAGAGCTGAGAACACTGTGCTCCTCATTCATTAGGATGTGTCAGAGGGATTCAGATGGGAAGAGACACAGGAATGGCTGCTACTTCCACTTGAATCTCCCAAACTGTAAGAGAAAGGTGAACAGTGTGTGCCACATTCAGCCACGTCCAAGAGCAGTAACAAACTCTGATCCTCAGACTCCCCATGACACAGGGACTGCCTTGGTGCCTGCTAATTTCTGTCACTGTGGGAATCACTTCATTACATTTGTGAAGGACACAGCCAAAACTGCCAGCTTGGGCCAACTGTAAGCCAGTCAGCCCCAGCAGCAGCAGGAGGAGCAGAAAGCCCTTCCAGCTGAGGGGTCTCCATCCCTACAGCCAGGCTGGGGCACCAGGAGGGGTTCAGCTCCCCCCATGGCACCCCCATGCAGACATGTTCCTCCATCCCAAGGAGCAGCCTTGACCCTCTGCTGGCTGAGCTGTGCTGCAAGCCCCAGAGAACAGGATTCCCCAAGGCATCCAGGCTGCTCTGAAGGGGATGGTGAGAAGTACATCCAGGCCTAAAATAGGTTTCATCTGCAGAACTTTATGTTTATCCCCAACAGATGAGCGAAGAGAGGAGTGGAGATCTGGTAAAACCATGGATGAAGCTTCCTGGCTTCTCCGTGAGGATTCCAATCACTTCACTGTGTCCCACAGTCCATTCAGCACGCAGCTGGTCTTCATTCTGTCCTCCTGTCCTTGTCCCCACCAGCAGGAGCTGCTCTTTCCCTTTCCCTTTCCCTTTCCCTTTCCCTTTCCCTTTCCCTTTCCCTTTTCCCTTTCCCTTTTCCCCTTCCCTTTCCCTTTCCCCCTGGTGTTTTGGACACTCTGTTCTGGGAAGAAAGATGCCCCTCAGCCCTGGTCACCAGGGGTGTTGGGGACTACAACAAAGAAACCACCAACCCCCAGAGGGGGAGCATGGCTCCAGGGGGAAATGGTCATGGTGGTGAAGGGTTGGGAGGGAAATCCAGCATCTCCTGGGCCTGTGTGAAGGCCCCTCTGAGCTTGCACTGCTGGGAAGCCTCAGGGATGCTCACAGGTCGGATTCATGCGACGCAAACCGGATGGGATGTGCTGCCACTGTAAATGAGGGGATTTGGGATGGTGCCCTACACACAACGGGAACACAGAGACCACACATGCTCCAGAGGTGTTTGCTGGTGTGTGAATGGGTCTGAGCTCGGTGACAAGCCTGGTGACAGCCTGTGGTACCCCCGAGTCACCAACCCACGGCACCAGTCTTGGTGAGTGTGATGAGAAACCTCATACCCAAACACAGATGTACACAAAGGTGGTGCACAGAGCTGGGTAACAAACCTCTCCTCTGAACTCCAGCAATAAAAACAAACCAACGAGATTTCCTGTGAACATTTTCTGCTTTCCAACAGAAACACAAAACTCAGTGAAAATCTGACAAAATATTTTTAAACAGAAATACAGATACAAACCATAGGATTTCAAGTAATATTTATGGCATAATTTTCCAAACATTTTTTAATTTTTCATTAATTTTTCAAGTTCCTTCAGTTAAAATACTTTATGTTTCCAACTCTTTGCCTTTACTCTGTCTTACAGTGCAGAAAATGTGTTGAAAATGTTATTTCTTTACCAACATTTTCATTTAGGTACAAAAGCAGCCATTACTCTTATCCAGCAGTGGTGATGTATGTAAGAGCAAATATATACGGATAGTGAATTCTAAACACAAGGAGCCGAATCCAAGTGGCCATTTCTTACATGTTTAGAAAGCTGTGAAAAGGTTTATGTGCAGCTGCCTTACCTTTTAATCTGTCTTCACATCTACATTAGGAGAAAGGTGCTTTTTCAGAGATGTATGTGAGTACAGGCTGTGGTACAAGACCGGGGAGACCTTTTTGGAAACAGATTTATTTTCCAAATAGGTACTTTCAGTCGTTCCAAAACATTTCTTGAAAGTATTGATGAATCAGACTCTAATTCATGAAATCACCTCAGCAGGACAATGAGGGCCAGTGCTACACACAGACTCCAGTACACAACTAACAATGTTCTGGGCTTGGTGGGTGTCTTACTGGCCACAGGAAAAGTTCTGCCATTGATTTTGCTGACTTTTCCCTTGGCCTTAGATAATAACCATTGGTTTCTTAATGTAGGGACAAAGACCCTCTCTTTTCTCATGTATTTCATTCTCTGTTGGACTAATTCTGGGAAAAAAAACAAAGACATGAAACAACAATCACTGATATCAGGACTCATTCCCACAAAAGCTTTGTTAAGCCAGCCATTCCATCTGCTTCAAGGAGAAGACACAGGCCAGGAAGGGCAGTTTTAACTTTCACCCCATAACTGAAGGACCAGCCCAAACACCAGCCTGTGCCGATGGAAGCAAACCTCAGTAACAGCATTTCAATCAAATGTTTCCTTTATATCTCTGTTAAAGCCAACACAGTTCTTTCTTACCATTTTTGCAGACAGGACAACACTGCTCTGGTTCATAGACTGGGTTGACACACTCGGGGACTGCGCAGTCTGCTACAACACAGTGAACTTCATTGCTGGGCTCGCAGCGACACCATTCGCATGGCGAGGGCTAGGAACAAATCTCAAATTAGCCCGTTGCCTCCCGCAGCTCACAAGTTTGCAACATTCCCATCTTGCCACAAGATAAACACATCAGCCTTCAATACCCCTTGACTGAGTCATTCATCATGGGTGATACAAGTTAACCTCTGGCACAAAAGAGCAACAGCTGAAACAGGCAACTACAACATCAGAAAAAACAGCGAGCTTCAGCCTTGTTTTCTCACAAAGAGTGCGGGGTCTTTCAGGACTTTAGGTCCCTTTGCCAGAAAAACTGAGCTGAAGCCTCTAGGGTGTACCTTGCTCTGCCTGTATGTTTTACCTTACACACGTGGCCAGAAGAAGAGCAGGATCTGCAGAAGGTCATGAGTGGTGGTTCATTCCAGGAAGGGAGGACAGGCTGATTTTCCAGGCCATACCCATCTCTCATGTAAGACCAGCACTGCCAGCCACCCCCAAGCTGTTGGAAAGGTGCTGCCTGTCCATCCCCCAGCCTCCTGGGGTGTTTTCACTCCCACTTTTCAGGGCAGAGGTGAACAGTGTCGCTCTTGGAGGGCCAAACCCATTTTATTCCATGTTTGTGCAGCACCTGCATCAGGGGTCTGTGAGGACTCAACACAGCCATGAGATCTCAGCCTGGCCCCTCTCCTGCTTGCTTCAACAAGGTTTGTGAGCAACAGGCTCACATAAAATACATAAATAATTAAGAGACTGAGTAAGTCTGCTGAGTTAGGGAATTCAGGATTAAAGCACCCAGCTGAATGGTTTTGTTTCAGCACCATCAATTCAGCCGGGAAGCTCTATCCACCTCCAAACTGCACAGAGTTGTTACTGTCTCAACCTTCAAAAAGCTGTGAAAATCTGCTGAAAACATAGAAAGGTCAGTGTTTTAAGGTTCCCAGTGACTTATGTGTGTGCAAGTGTCACGAAAGCATGGCAACATAGCTAAGGAAGGAGAATAAGAGGAGAATTGAAAGGAAAATAACTTCCTTTCAGTACCAGTAGGTTCGATATGTAACTCCCAGTTTCTCAGCATCCATCACCAACATTTCAATGAGTAAATGTGGTATTGGGAAAAAATTCTGCTTTATGTGAATCTGCAGCTGTGGGAATTCCTCAATATTAAAAAAAATATTCCTCAGTATTAAAAGATAAAGTGGGATGCAAATAAAGAAGGATTCATCTTGATGTATTTCAGACCTCAGTGATGGGTCACTCATTACTACAAGACAGATGCAACCTGTGAGCCCTGTTTCTGGTGTGTAAAAAGCTCTTCAGTTCACCTCTAAGAAACTCCATGTGTATTCAGTCGAATAATTTATTCCTAGGAAATTCATTTCTGCCTTAAAATGCACTAATTAAAGCTTCCCTTGCTTTGTCTCAGCATCTGCAGTCTATAATTCCCATCACCTCTCATTTGCTCACGGCTTTGGCAATTTAGATAAAATCAGCACTCCTTGAGCAAGGGAAGAAGTGTGTGGAGGTGGAATTCCTCTCTCTAATTATCGTTCCTCTTTCAATCCTGCTTTGATTTCTGTCTGAAGCACCAGGAATCTAAATTCATTTGACTGACATTTCTTATTCAAGGCTATTTAATAAGAAGAAACAATACAGAAGCAAACAGACAGAACTATTTGCTGAGGGATCAATAAGAAAATTGCTGCTTTGTTTTTACTCATTTTAATCACTAATTATATGGAGCAGTAGAACTAGATCTTGTGATTTGTGGAAGCTTTCACTGACGTCTCCTCCAGTGATTGTACCCATCCTCACTACTCCAGTGGCTGCAATGCTAAGAAATATGTGATGCTTTTCCAGGGCTGCAGCCCAATCCACGGCTCAAAGAGGATCAGCCCAAGCGGAAGCTGCCCCTGAATGACTCTGCAGCTGAGCAAACGAGACATGACACACACATCTTCCGCCTCAGCCTTGGTGGTGCACCCTGAAAATGACACTGTAATAAACCAGGATGTTGCCTGACGCTGGGAGCAGCTTTCCAAGTGGGAAGAGCTGCACACAATTAGAGAGGGAAAGCACACCCTGGCAGAACACAGAGTGAGCAGCCACCAAATAAAAGGCTGCTTTGGCATGAACCAGACCCTTCCCTGCCACCTCCTCCTCCTTGCTGTATTAAGGTCAAGCCACTTGGTCTTGTCACCAAGATTTTCCTCTATCTGACCATTCTGGTCACTTGTCAGTGCCACTTATCCTGGAGGACTCCAGCCCTCCTGTCCACTTGGTGTATGAGAGCCTTGGTGCCATCCTCTGTGGGATGTGCTTTGGGATCCGATCCGCAAATCCCTGCCCATTGAGCATTCTGAAACTGTCGTCTGCAGACTCTGCATCTGAGCTATTACTTTCCCTGGTGCTACCCTTCTTGTGGAACAATGCTGGGACACTGGCCAAAAAGTCCTCTATCTATTGGTACAGGCAGCAGAAAGACCAAGCAGCAAAATGACGAACTGGGAGCCAGTGAAGAACAAGGAACCAGCAGAGGATGTCTTTAAGTTTTGTTTCCTGATTCCTGATTTAAAGATTTTTCCCCCATGAAAGAGGGGTGGTTTACACTTTTGTAGCCATTGAAGTTCAAACAACAGTTCCAGAAAAGGAACTCTCATCCCTGCTGAAGGACACTGAAAAAACACGGGGTTTTCTGGAGTAGGAAGTAGAGAGGACACTGTCCCAATATGGACAGTGCAAATGCTTTATCTGTGTCCCTTAAACTGATGTTCTGGTAAGAGTGTTAAGATCAAAGGATCACAAAAGTTGGTGATTTATTCACTCCCGTGTCTAAGGCAGAACAATCTTTTAGAAAACTCTCTAGGGAAGGATTTATTAGGCAGGATATCAAGAGCTGTTGGTGAAGAAGCATTCTTCTGACCACTGCCCAGAAGGAAAGGGTGCTCAGGATGTCCAGCCACAACATAGATACACATCTGCACCATTCCATGGTCCTGTACTGCTCAGTATGATTTCAGAAATGGCTCTATCAGGAGCAAATTGGGCCCTTCTGTAGAAGGCATCAGTCAGTAGAGCAGTTTGACTTGGCCAAACCAGTGCAAAGCACTGAAATTCTTTTTACCCCATCTCCACTTCTGAAGGGGGTGAGAGCCAGTGGTGTGATGTGTTCTTGGATGTTGTCAGTGTAGGGGCCAAGTCAAGCCAAGCTGGTGGGAAGCAGGCATGGCCAACATGTATCCACCATTCAAGGGCTTTTAACAGCAGCTGAAATGGGACACTGAGCACAAAGGACCTCCTCAGTCTCTGCACTGACCCTAATTCCCCTCTCCTTCAGCCAGTCACTTCAAAAAGTTCAAAGCAGCACAACCCATTCATAACCACCCCTAAAATCACAACCCAATTTCAGTTTCTCTCCTGTTCTCAAGGAGGTCTGTGAGCCCAGGTTTGGCTGGGAGGGCAGGTTCAGCTCCTGCCTCTGTGTGGGATGGCCCCATCACACACCTCAGGACGGCCGGAGGAAGGAGCCAGCGCTCCTTCTGTTGTGTGGCTGAAAAACCTGAGTCTCAGGTGCAGTCAAATGGGAAACATCTGCAATCAGCAGAGTTTGTTAACAATGCAAGAAGGAAGGAAAATTAGAACAGAGAATAGAAAATTCACACGGCTAATAAAGATTTTATGTGTGCGAGCACATAATGATAAACTTGATAGACGATATAAACAAACACATGAAAAAGGCAAAAGGAAACAGAATGAAAAACAAGCTACACCCAGAGCAGGGGAAACTGGGAAACCAAACAGGATACAGGTGCCCCACCTCCTAATCTTCACCCTTGCACCCACACACACCAGCTCCCCACTGCTTTCACCCTCTTTTTGGAAGCAAATGCCAGCACAGGTAGGAATTATGACTGCTAACATCATCCAGCTACTCCTCTCTTAGAGGGTTGGGAACCACGTGGGTCCTTCTTTAGTCAGCTGTAAGGTTCCAAAAACCCAAAGAAATTTCATACCTCTGAGAGGTCTATTTTGTGAGCAGGCCCTCAAGTCCTCTGTAAGGACTGATGGACAGCCAGAGACATCACATGATCAAACAATTCTTTAGGCAACAGACTACAAAACTGATTATTCCCAAACCTAAGGGGGAGGTAGAGAGAAGAAAATGGAAATCTGAATTCAGAACTCAGAATGTTTAAGTCTACTCTTTTATGCTTTTCTACAGCTGAAGAGATCTGAATCAAACATTTTTTTAGACCACGGCAGCTGGTACAATCACACCAATAACTGACACACAAAACCTCAAGATTTTAAGCAAGATCTTACAAGGAGCACCTCAGTCATTTCATTTAATCATAGGAATTCTCTTGTTGCATGTACTTACTGAACCTCATCTCTATGTTTCTCCCTTAGCTCATGTCTTGGCCAGAGCTACAGCACCTAAGCCACCTCTCTGCTGCCCCAAACACGGGAAAGGCTTTCCCACATCATCACCAAGTAGGGAATGTTCTCCCTGAGTGAATGGAGGAAGCATTTCTCTATCTATGAAACATCATTTTGCAGCCCTCCTCTTGCCTGCCTACAGTCAGGATTTCTCTGTCTTGTCTGCTCATCAATCACTCTTAGATGCTTTTGACACCAACAGCTCTGGAGAGCTGGAGAGGGAGTGATTTACCTAGGACAAACAAAAAACCCTGAAGATGACATCTGACTGATATTTTTTCTTCACCTGTTTGTTGTCAGTCAGTTAGAAGCCATTTTCCTCACTTTTTGCTCTGCTGCCACACTCACCAGGCTAACAAGTTCCCAAGTCCTCCAGCTCAGGAGACGTCTCAAGTTTTAAAGCTTGTTCACAGTTCCCTGTGATCAGTTTGGATTCATCCAGCTGGCTTTGCTCAGATTCAGGGTTTGAGATTCATGCCCCACAAGGAGCTGGGAAAATGCTGCTCATTTTCCAAGCTGCCTTACAAGACTGAAGTGCTATTTGGCACCTGAGTATTTCAAGAGCCAATGGATCTTACATTATTAAAACTGACTTTTTACAGAGACCTGTTA